AAATATAAAATATTTTTAATATTTTAAAATATAATTATTATATTTTTTAAAGTGCCTCAAATATATAAATTATCTTACATTTATTTTAAAGTAAAACAATAAGAGTAAATATAAAAGATTTGTGTTAATTTAAAAATAATTAATTATTTTATTAAAAGTGAAATTTGATTAAAAATCATTTGTATTTTTTAAGGAACAAAGTGAATGATAAAAGGAAAAAATATGAATGGAAAAATTGTGGGACCCACGCCCACTTATTTAAAATCCGTGAGAAGGCCATTCCTTTTTGCTATTCCTTTCATCCTCTCCAGCTAGCGGTGTCCAGACCGTGTGCAATAGAGAGAGCGGCGTCCGGACAAGATAAATTTTCTAAATAATTTTCTAAGCATTTTTTTCTGAATTTTTTGACAGTGGGAGAATTTGGAGTTTTCTACGAGTTTGAATTCGGAACAATTCTAACTTAATTTGAGTTTAAATATGTTTCTGAAGTTAGATTAAGTGTTTAATTAGTTTAGATTTGTCCAAATGCTTGATTTAGAAATTGTTAGGTTAGGGTTTATAATAAAGCATGCATTTTGACGTGGTTAATGACATTCTGACTATTTAAACCTTAATTTAATGATTGGAAAATGTTTATATAAGTTGGAACTAAGGTTTAACCGATTTAGAATTTTTAGTTTGAATTTAATTATAATTTTGAGCAAATTGGAGGGACCTAAAATTGAGAAAATTGAGGATTAAATAAGTTGATAATGGGTTTGGTTAGCCCCATTAGAATATAGATGAGTCACTTGAGCTAGTGGTATCTAATTTATGAAGTAATATTAGTTTTGGAATTTTTGAGTGGAATGGATAATTAGGAAAATTATGTTTATAGTAGAGAATTGATAATTTTGAGTTGTTTAAATTTTAGACTAGCTCCCTTAAATTCTTGAAGCAAGTAGGAGCATTGAATTGCCAAGTGTCCACAGATGCCTCTTTTAATTGACTCAATAGGTAGAGTAATTGAAAAGTTAAATTTCTTTATGTACATATTTTAAGTATTTTTTATTAGGGAATTGTGAAATGTATATTTATATATAAAAATGCTCTTTTGATGTTTTAGAAAATATGTAAAGTGAGCATGAATTAATAGTTGAGAGTTGTAAATAATTTGAATGCATATGTGATATTGCAAGTTACGAGAATGATTTGAACATGTTGAGAATTAAGTTTGTGAAAAAGTTGCATGTGTTAGTGAAATGAGCATGATTCACGGAAAGCATGATATTGTTAGCATGTGTAATCATATTATTACGCATGCATGTACTTGTGAACATAATGATATGACTATAAAAGTAAAATGAATGGGAGTTTACCTTGGATAGGAGGCTGTTGTATCGCAAGTCCATGTAACATGGACAATGTTTGGGTAGTTCTCAATGTTGCATAACTATAGCACTTACTTTGACATGAATTAGGTATAATTTTGGTTTAGCAGATGATACTCACTTTAAAAGTGTGTATGTATTGTTAGTATTATATATGATACTCAAATTCGATTATCAAAGGAATCTATTGTCCAAATTTAGAGAATAGTGACTTTTAACTAAGTTAACCCTTGGACATTGAAGAGCTTATACTAGTTTGATAACACATACTAGTTCCATTATGAATTATAGCCCACAAACTTGGTTAAAAGGAACAAGTAGGAGATGAGGGGGCCATAATAATCATGCATGCCTAATTATTATGATGATGTGAATTATATTTGTACATACTCGCTTTACACACTCTAAAATGCTTATGCTTGTATACGTGAGAGCCAAGAAGCTAAGATTCTATTGTTACTAAAATATTTATCTTATCCTATGATTTTACATTTTATAGGTGAAGGCTTGGTTAGTAGCAAAATGAAGGATCCGAAGGCTTAAAAGTAAATTGTATGTTATACAACCTAGTTTTATCTCTATGAAGTAGAATATAGTTATATTGCCAACTCAAAGGTAGATTATGCATTTATGATTCTAATTGAATTTGTATTTAAGAATTGATAATTGTTTAGCCATTTTGTGAACTAAGGTCATGAGGGCTTGTGTTAAGGCTAATTAAATTATTATGGCTAAATTATGCTTGAGATGTCATTGAAGATGCGAATGTCTAGCCAATTTTATTAATTCAAGCTTATGAACCTTACGTTGTGGCTAGAGATACCATGGTTGTTATATGTACGAGTTTGATTATTATTGTCCATGAATGGATTATGGATTGAAATGTTGTATGAATTTGCAAGATTGACATGCTCGAGTTAGGGAGTCAATTATGGTTATATGTTAAAATCATGTATGTTAGCTATTTTGTCCACATATTGTTGGGTAACTCTATTAACGGGTTGCCCTTTGCTTATGCTTATTTGACTACTTTAATCTTATATATTTTGAACTCAATGGCTTTAGAAATTATTTTTAATTAGGATTTCATTTTCAAAAATTTTTTAATTGTGTCCGTCTCTTTATAACCATGGTCAAGCTTTCCTATTATGTTAATAGCTCACTTGGGACATCAGCCTTAATTACTATAGTAGTGCAATTTAATTAGTAAGTTAATCGTGTATTTATTACACAATTGGATACTAAATATATGGCTACCTCTCCTGATGAGAATTTAAACCATAGTTTGTTATGTGGTGAGAAACCAGTCCCTTCAAATAGACTCAATCCTTGTTAGTGGATAATATGTTTTTTAATGTTGGTCCCCTTTTGCAAGAGTTTTTTAATTATGGTTTGGAAAATAGGTTTTTAAGAAAAGGAAAAATTCAATCATCAATTCCTATAATTTTATTGAATTTTAGTTTTAGTTCATATAGTTGTTTTTCAATGTTTTTTGTCCTTGTAGGTTAGGTATGACTAGATGACAATTGTTTTGCTGATTCCTATAATTTCGATGTTTTAAGTGTTTTTAATCATATAAGAACTGAAAACACCAAAAAAAATTTATATAGACTAAAAATAAAATTTGATAAAACTATAAGAATTAATTATTGTGTTTTTAGAAAATCTATCTTCCATGCTGCTTACGCATGTTTTTACAATTTTACTTGCATTCTTACCTTGTGCTCCTTTTGTCACAATTTATAAGATGTTTTTAAATAAAATTATGATACCAATAACATATATTAAATACACTCTGTAATCTTAATTTTTTTGAAATATAAATATAAATTTTTAAAAATATCATTCATTCAATATAATTTTATTTGTGAAGCATTAAATAAAGGGATAAAATATAACAAGGAGTGAAAGTCAGCATTTAAAAAAGTATAACTTATAAAACTTTATTTTTATCAAAATATTTAATATTTTGGGATGGGAGAGTGCTAAAAGGGACAAAACTTGGGCCTATACTCTCCACCTCCTTGTTAAAAATTATTAAATTTTCTATAAAACTTGCTAAAACTTATTTCACTCCCTTGTTTTGTCTTATTGTAGAGTTTGTTTTTTTAATCATGGTGGAAGCCTAAAAAAAAAATCCATCTTCCATGCTTGTTTTCTTGTCCATACTCTTATGTGAATTCTCAGTTCTCACCTTATTACTATGCAAAGAATAAAAATTTAACGTTTCTTTGATTTTATTCTCATTTTTTATTTTTAGCAACCATTTATAATAGATAGTGGTTAGTCATATCTAAAAGTAATTCATAATAATTAAATATAATATTTTAAAAAATAAAAGGGCAAAAATATCTTTAAGATGTATCCATTCTTGTTTTTTTAAACTAAAAACATTTTTTTTAAGATATTTAAATTTAAAGTACTTGCCTAAACATTTTTTTCATAAAACAATTTTTTAAAACATAAACCAAATAGGTTCTTAATTTATTTTTACTTATACACTTCTTATTCACCCAGACATTCACCTAGCTACAAATATGTTGTTATTTGGTACAGGTATAGTTGATGATGGAGTTAGCTCATTGGATTATGAAATTCAAACATGCATAGGATATTATCACCATTCATTCAAACTAATATAAAAAACTAATATAAACTCTCGTTGTATAAAATTATTATTATCAACGACAGCATTGCAAGTATTAAGAATATATTTAACATTTTTATTTAACACAATTGCGTATTTTAAGACTTGAAGTTGAGAGTCATAAAGATAAGCTTATTAAACTCGAGACCCTTTGACAGACATACCTAATATTTAAATGATTCAATAAAACGATGACAATGAAAGCAAGGTGAGAGGCCATTGATAAGCATGTGATTGGTGAGTTGAAGCAAAACACGTAGATACACATGGATATTGTAGAAGAAAATAATGGATCTATGCTTTGTGAATTATGAAATCAAAGTAATAAAAAGTTAAAATTTCTCTTAATTTTCAATTTAACGAACAACTTTTTCTCAATCTTATTTTTTCATCATCAAGCTCATCATCAATATTATAACTCTGTCTCCTCATGGCTCATGTTAAGGTGTGTTCACTCACACCACATTACATTTGCACCTTCCCACAAAAACTAACAAGTAATGGCTTACTTAGTAGCTAATTGATTATTTCTTATATTTAAAAAATTATTTTAGTGATTGAAAAAAGATCTCCCCATTCCTTTTTAAAAGTTCCATTCTAAAAAGTTTTAATGTTTCAAAATAAAAGATCTTAAAGGAAAGGAATGCTTTATTAAATAATACACTTTACTTAACCCAATGGGTTTAAGATCAACGCATTACTGATACAAAGGGTACACAAGCTATTTATAGCCAAGGATATACAATGAATGAGCTAACAACCTTATAAACTAACCCACATAAGCCTAATATCACAAAACTAATATCAATAGATATTATCCTAAAAATTAATATTTTTCTATTTCTCTACATTTCCCCTCAAGTTAAAACTAAAAATATTTACGGTTTCTAACTTGTTTAACATTCTCTCATAACCCGATTTACTTAAAACTTTAGTAAAAATATCCGCCTGTTAATTTGGAGAAGGCACATGATGTAAATTAATTAATCCTTCTTGAAGCTTTTCACAAACAAAATGGAAATCAATTTCAAATGCTTCGTCCATTCATGAAATACCAAACTCGAAGCAATTTGAATTACTGCTTTGCTGTCACAATGTACTAGAATAGGGAGAGGACTATCAACCTTCAGGTCCTTCAGCAAACCAATTAGCCATGTAATCTCTAAAACAGTACTTCCTAAGGCCTTGTATTCAACATCTGCGGAGGAATGTGAAATTGTTGTTTGTTTCTTTAACTTCCATACAACTGGCGTTCCTCCCATCTTAATGATATACCCTATAACAGATCTTCGAGTATCTGCATAAGCCCCCCAGTCAAAATCTAAATATCCTTCAAGCATTGTCCCTCCACTAGAAAGAAAGAAGATGCCATTATTAGAATCTTTCTTCAAGTATTTAATCACATTCATTGCTGCCTTCATATGCAATTTGCTAGGACTACTCATGTATTGACTTAATAACTGCATAGTGAAACTCAAATCTGGATCAGTCATAGTCAAATACAACATTTTACCAATTAATCTTCTATATCTAGTTGCATCAAGCAAAGAGGGTCTTTCTCCTCCTTCCTAGGTTCACTATACAACTTTAAACTTTAAGCCATATGAACATTTCTTGGTCCGGTAGCACTCAACCTAGTACTAGAAATTAGATCTAATGCATACTTCCTTTGGTTTAAGACAACTCCTTTCTCAGATTTAGCTATTTCTAGTCCTAGAAAATATTTTAGAGGACCTAGAACTTTCATTTTAAAATTACTATGAAGATAATTTTTTATTTCCTGAATAAAAGAATCAGGATTTTTGATAATAAGTAAATCATCCACATAGCTCAAAATTAAAACTAAATCATTACCCTTTGTTTAGAAAACAAGAAGTAGTCATGTTTGCTTTGTATGAAACCTCCTGCAACTAAAGACTTAGATAGTTTTAAATTCCACTGCCTTGAAGCTTGTTTTAGTCTATATAAAGACTTGATAAGTTTACAGACCATTTTTTCTCCATTTTTAGCAAAACCTTATGGGATTTTCATAAAGACTTCTTCAGTTAAGTCCTCTTGTAAAAATGCATTATCTACATTCATTTGACACATATTCCATTTATTTTTAATAGCCAAAGATAAAAAAGTCCTGACAGTGGTCATCTTAACTACAGGAGAAAAAGTATCAAAGTAATCAACTCCTTTAATTTGATTATATCGTTTTGCAATTAACCTAACCTTTAATTTATTTAAGGTGCCATCAGTATTATATTTCTTTTTAAAACCCTATCGACACCCTATGGCTTTCTTACCAGCAGGAAGATCAACTATTTCCCAAGTCTTGTTCCTCTCTAAGGCATCTATCCCATTCTTTATTGCCTCTACCCACTTACTGTCTGTGGCTGCCTCTTCAAAGGTGTTTGGTTCTATGATCTCATCCATGCATATTAAAAAATCTTTATAAGAAGATGATATATTAGTGTAACAAACACTGTGTTGAATAGGATATAGAATTTTCCTCTCATTTTAGCCTCAATACTATTTGAATGAGCTAAGTCTATGCAATTGTAATCTCTAAGCCAAGTTGGTTGTTTTCTATGCCTAACAGGACGCGATAGTGGTGACGTTTCAATATGAGACTCCAAATTTAAATTATTAGAAATCACAGATTTATTGAAACTATTAGTTTGTAAGCCATAATCATGTGAATCAGACTAAGTTTGCATATCATTATTGTTAACAGAATCAGGAGAGGAAGTATCTAAAACAATATCAGGAGTATTAGGAACATAATTAATAGCTTGATAATTATCAAATGGAGTATCAAAGAAAAAGGGATCCAAAGTTTTATTTAGAGATTTTTTCTTTTGGTTTGAATTCATCAGGGCCTCATCTTTGTAAAGGAATTTATTCTCAAGAAAAATAACTTTCCTACTAATTGATATCTTACCTTCCATAATATTATAAAGGAGGTACCCTTTTTTATTACTAGGATATCCTAAGAAGATGCAAGGTTCAAATCAAAGGTGAAATTTGTCGGTTTCATTTAACCTTTTGGCATAAGCTAAGCACCCCAAAATCCTTAAATGTCTCAAGTCAAGTTGTTTATAATACAGTACCTCGTATGGAGTTTTATAGTTGATCACCGTATAAGGTGTCCTATTGATGAGATAAACAACAGTTCTAATACTTTCCCCCCATAACTTAATAAGAATGTTGGCTTGAAACATGAGACTCCTAGCAACTTCTAGAATATTGCTTATGTTTCCTCTTAAACACCCTATTTTGTTGAGGTATATAAGGACAAGAAGTCTCACGAGCAATTCCATTATTCAAAAAATAAGTTGACACATCGTTATTAATAAATTTAGTTCTATTATCTGTGATATAGGCAGAAAATTGAGTCTAGACATAGGCAAAGAAAATCCTAGTGTAATAAAAAACTTCGTATTTATTAGTTAACAAATATACCCAAGCTGCTCATGACATATCATCTATAATAACTAAGAAATATCTATACCTTTGGTGTATGGGTTCTCTATATGGACCCCACACATCCATATGAATGAGATCAAAACAATGAGCAACTTTATTATTACTATCAGGAAAGGGCAATTGAGGCTGTTTTGCTTGTAAGCAAACATCACATTTATTAATGTTAGTAGAGGACAATTCACCTTTTAAGAACTAATATGCTTAAGAACATGAAATGAAGCATGGCCTAACTTAAGGTGTCAAAGTTCATTACTAGAAGCAAAGGAATTACAAACAAAAATATTAGTCTCCTCTACAATGTAAAGTCCAGAATCTATTTTACTAATTGTCTTGGTGCTTCCATTATAAAGGTCTTGCAAAATGCATACACTAGGAAAGAAGGCAACAACACAAGTGTGTTCTGAGGTGAGGCGTGAGACAGAGACCAGATCATAATGAATTCTAGGTGTATAAAGTACGTTTTCTAAAATTATATCATCAAATAACATGATGGATCCTATGTGTGTGACTGTCAGTTTTTCTCTATTTAAGATATGTATCTTAATAGGGGTCCCAATATACTCGGTGAATTTATCAAAGAAACTTAATGAACTAACTACATGTGTAGTGGCTCCTGAATCTAATAGCTAATGTGGTTTATGCAAATTTGAAATATGTGTAATTGAGTGTGTAAGAGACAAGATATTGCAAGCTAAACCTGATGACTCTTTCGAGTCATTTGTGGCTACAGTGCCAATAGAAGGAGCAGGCTTGATATCTTTGCGTAGCATCTTGAGAATGCTGTCATAGTCTTATTGGGAAAGAAGTTAACTTTCTTGTGGTTGAATTGGAGTTGAATTAACAGTGGTATTTGTGTGGTTGATTTGTCGATCTTGGGTGCCTCTTCCTCGGCCAAAGCTTGGAGGGAATCCCACTAATTGGTAGCAATTGTCCTTTTTGTGGCCTCGACGATGACAATATATACATTCCTCATATGAGCTTGTTCGCCTTCATCCTTGTTGTATCTACCACATCCTTTAGCAATCATGGCAAAGCCTTCATTACTTAGGCTATGAGGAGGTTGATTCAAGTTGTGTTCCATTTCTTCTTGACAAACTAATGAGTAAGCCTGATTTACTGTTGGGAGAAGGCTCATTAGCAAGATCTGACTTCAAACATGCTAATATGATAAATTGAGTCCCATAAGGAACTGAAACAATCTCTATTGTTGCACAGTCCTTGCATATTCAAGAGAGTAATTGCATTTACAGCTGAGCAAAGGTACAATCGCAAAGTATTCCTCCCATAATTCCTTCAATCGTGCAAAATACCTCGATACTGTCATTGATTCCTGAGTGAGTGAATTAATTAGACGATGTAGACTATAAATCTTAGATCCACTGGTGATACTAAAGCATTCTTGAAGGTCTTCCCGTATGAGATTTATGCTTTCTAAGAAGGTGATGCTAGCTGAAATCTCTTTTGACACAGAATTAACTAGCCATGAAAGGACCACAGCGTTGCAACGGTCCCATTATCCATGAAGACTCAGATCTTAGGCTTCTTGTCTACGGGAGCCATTAACAATACCTATCTTGTTTCTTGCTCGAAAAGCCATCTTAATGGCTCAACTCTATATTACGTAATTTGTAGCTTCGATTAGAGGCTGAGTCACTAGTGAAGTTACCTGTGTCTTAGAAGGATGGAGATACAAAGAATAATTGAGGTTAAGAGTGGTGTGGATGTTTCTATTAGAGATGCCTTTTGCAGTTTCTTAGTTAGGCGACGCCATTTTTTGCTGAAAGATTGAAGGTAAATGATGAATCTGATGTGTTCGTGATCGTGTGCGAGGATGGAATAGACGCTATGTCATGAGGAGAATAAAAAAACACGAAAAGAAGGGTAACTAGGGTTCAGTCGAAGAAGATAAAGAATTCATGAAAGCTAGGTCAGGCAGATTAGGAAGCAGGTCGGATCATGAGCTAATGTTCCAGTACCATAATGGAAAGGAATGATTTATTGAATAATACACTTTTACTTGACCCAATAGGTTTAACATCAACGTGCTACTGATATAAAGGGGGCACAAGCTATTTATAGCCTATGATATACAATGAATGAGACTAACAACCTAATAAAGTAACTCACATAAGCCTAATATCACAAAAGTAACATCAATAAATATTATCCTGAAAATGAATATTTTTCTATTTCTCTATAGATCTTTTCTTAAAAAAAATAGTGAAACATTTATTAAGTGTTTTTAAAATGTCCTTCATTAATACTAATTAATTAATATTTCATCCCTGTTAGCTACTATAAGCTATACCTTTTAGAGGGGTTCTTTAATTATTAACATAGTACTTTCTCTATCTTAAATTACAAGAAATTTTTAGATAAAATTTTACATTTCAATAAATGTCATTAATTACACTTAACAGTTTTATCTTTTTAAACAAGAATATACATTTTCAAAATATCTCTCATTTAATATATTAAAAAAATAGATGAAAATTAATTATAGAGAGAGAAAGGGTAATATTATAATTGGAACAATTAATGAAACCTTAATATACTTAAAGTGTCTCATATTAATAAAGAATATTATAGTTCAGTTCATTTATTTTCAAACACAATTAATATAATTAGCCAATTTTTTAAAATTATGTGATATATTTTTTTTCATCTACAAATAGAAAGGGAGGGAGTAATTATTTGTCTTTAAATTAACTCCATCTTTTCATATTTACTCATATTTAATAGGATATTTTAGTTTTATGATAAAATAAATATGAAGAGATTTATTCCATAGAATTTTTTTTTCTAAAAAAGCAATGGTTATACTTTTTTAAAAAATTAAAAATACCTTATGTTTTTAAAAACCTAATCTCTGAAAAAATATCTTATATTTTTTAATCAAGAAAATAGAATCTAATTTAAATAATCAAACCCTTTATGTGAAATGAAATTGTAATTATAATTAATTTTTCTAATTTTTTTAAATAATACTAATCAATTACATATTATGCAAGAATAAATGCAACTTTAATCTTGAAATTATTTTAATTTAAGAATAATACAAATTTTAGTTGCAATTTAAATTTTATTGTTTATTTAAATAATTAATATATGAGTCACATCCTGCGCATTGCACGGACCCATGCTACTTGCCTTGTAATTTTTTGCATAACAACAAAGAGATTAACAGAATAGTTTCGAGGCAAACGACAAGTTAAGGAAAATACGCGTGCGTTATATTAATTCTGTTACAGTCAAATCATGATCACTTTATGTATTTTAAAATTATAAGAATTAATATTGTGGACAGATCGAACCAAGTGGACTGAAATAATAAAATAAAATTATAAGAAATAAAAAATTAAGAATAATAATAATAATAATATTACTCTAAAATATATAAATAATAAATTAATTTTTTAAAATGTCATAATTCTCCTGAAATCTTCAAAAATTTTTTGTCATTAATAAATTTATATAAATTATTAAATTATTTTTGTTGAAAATAAATAATTTATAATTTTTTTAATATTCACAACTTTTCTTCTTAAATTAATAACAATATAAAAACAAATCACAACTTCTCATATTAAATTTTTTATTTATTATTGTATTGTTGCGAATATCAGAAAGAAAATTATGAATTATTTATTTTTAACAAAAATAATTTAATAATTTATATAAACTCATTAATGATGAAATTTTTTTAAAAAAATTTAAAAAATTATAATATTTTGAATAAATAAATTATTATTTATATATTTTAAAAAATTTTATTGTTATTTTAAAAAAACTATCAAGGAATAGGGAATTATTTTATATTTTCAGTAACTAATTATAATTTTTTTTTTGAAAGGAATGTAGGTCGTTGGATTTAAAAAGCACCCGTGGGATCCACGGACGGAAACGGCAACCGAAAGCAAGTAAGCGGGGTCCACCGGAAGCAGTGA